TGCAATGGAATCCAGCCTATCTGACTCGAGGGGAAGGCTAATAATATTTCACTTCAAAGGATTTGGTTTCATGTGTCCCAGATGCTGACTTTCATAGGTGACATTTTTGTCCGTTCTCCAATTTTACCTTTACCCTGCTTTCTCTCAAAAAATTACACAGTAATGACCCTGGCGTTAAGATAATTGTCAGTGGTAATGCCTTGTCATAATTTATCACTGTGGAATTGCATAACTTCTCCCACAGTTCTGCTTTCTGAGTTAAGGCCCTGTGATCCATCACATATCTTTTGGAATGGCTGTCATCCTCAAGAGGCTCTGAAGTAGTTCATCTTTAGCCCAAGTTCTTCTAACTCCTGTGCAAATTTGGACTTGGTAGCTGTAACTTAGACCTGAATATTCATCAGAGTTGCATCCTTTTTTGTTTCTGGCCACAATATCTTCTTTATCCATCTGACTAAAATGCTAAATACAGTTGAAAAACAGAGTGAAACTGTCCTTATGTTGAGAAGGAAGAGAATTTATTAAAGAACACAATGCTTTGCTTGAATGAGACTTTGAGAAATCTGAAACGACAAGCCACCTGAGTGAGGCTGAAAGTTTAAACAGTCACTTTTCCACCTGACTGCAGCTGTACTTTGGATCTGTTTTTTTCCCCCCCTTATTCTCAGATGCAGGATGGAGGTGAGTGAAGAATGGTTTGGCTGTCTGAAGCTTAATATTCTAAGCTTGTTCAATACATGCAGCACAGCAATCAGTTTTACCTCATTTCTGGGATTTTTTTGGTGATTCCTAAGGAGCAGTTGGAATTATTACCCCCTTCTTTTCCTAGGAATGAATAAACCCCTGAAAAAAACACTTAATTCTTCAGGGATGAGTCTTAATACCTTTAAACTGGTGTTCATTCACTCCCTCTCTTCCTCCTCCACCCCAATTACAAGCAATTGGGTGGTAGTAATTAACAATCTTAGAGAGAAACATCTGCTAGTACACTTAAGCCAGTCAGTTTGTTTTTCATGAAAGAATGGTATTTCACAATTTTTCCAAGTTAATATTTTTCCTTTATTGTCTTTCCAATTTCAAATATTGTCCAGACACATTTTTATAGTGTCTTAAGGTTATAGAAGTGAATACAAGACCATTAATAATGAACAAGAAAAGAGAACATCATAAAGAAAACATATGCAGTATTTCAATTCATGAAACACTCTGTTAGGAAACATTATTTTTGAGAGCATATGGTTATTCCCATGAGAAGCAATAAATATACTTTTTTTTTTTCCCCCTTCAGTTGTGGATTCCCACAACAAGGGTAGGTTTCTATGTGTATTTGTCTATATAGCACATTCTCTTTGTCAGGACTTGTTATCTGAGTGGAGAGGTAAGTATTTTTGCACAGATGATATATTGTACATGGACCTATTTCTGATGCCCTAGACTTTGGAAACACAAGTCTATTAATTCTCCACACTCCTTTGAGATAGCTATCTTGTCTGGTCTAGTTTAATATCATTGGCAGAGCTGAAAGGAAGTTCACATTGTGAATATATCTGAAACTTGGCATGCGGCTTACTGGTGGATCTCTCTTTACAGACTGCCAGTTTTAACTGTCCCAAGCAGACATTCTGATTTTATTTATAAGTAGGTTCAGCATGTGTTTGTATCCTTCATGAAATTGAGTACATGTCAATAATCAAAACTCAGTATAGAAACAAGATACCAATCACTTATCCTTCTCAGACAAAACAGTTGTACTCCAGTATGTATTTTTAAATGTTCAGAGGATATATGCACAGACACATTATTTGATCACTCATAGATATTATTTTAATACCTCCATATTCCCCTTTAAAGTTTCCTCATTTAGATTTCATTTTTCTTTGCTGAATTAAACTTGACATCAGGATGAGATCACCAGATTTCCCCATTTCATCTGCGCTCCAAAATGAGTAACTGATTTCAAAGGATAATTCCCTGGAGCAGCAAGGCCAATGAGTTCTTCAGATCAAAGGTCAGCAAAGCTCAAAGAGGATAATTTCTGGCATACAGTATTTAAACTCTCTCAAGGAGTGTACTGCAAGATGTATCCCCTCCTTCCCCAATAGTTGAACTCTTGTTTTTTGAGAAGACTAATTTGTCAGAGCACATTTTTTTCCTCTGTTACATAAATTATACATTAAAGTGAAAGCTTCTTATCTGAACACACAAACTGTACATCCAGAAAGGTTATTAAACATGCCAGTGAAAGGGCTGTTCCTGACACCAGAAGGTAACTCTGTGCCGTTCCTCTCTGAAGCACCCTGTGACCGGGGAACGCTGGTGCTCTTTGCACATGCTGGCAGCTTCCAGCACAGTGCAGGAGCATGGTGGTGGCAGGGAGAAAATGTTCTGTAAGACCCTTCGTTTTGACAGGAAAACCCAACAAAGAGCATTGGGGCAGGGAATAGTCACCTTGTGCGGGATCTGCTCCTCATTGCTCTCAGCCTCATGTTGTTTGCCATACCACTGTCATTTGTGATGCTGTCCCTTAAGAGATAGAAGACCACTGTAGAAGTCTCTTGGCCAATATGTACCTTTATACATTTAAAAGTATGTGTGATAACAGGGGTGGTTTGGTTTTGTTTTTTTTTCAATTGGTTGTCCACTGTTCCAACAAAACTATGGGTTATACCAGCCCAGCTATCATTTATTTGACATCCTCTAGAGTGAGATTGTGAAGTATTGCAAAAGTCCCTCATCCAAATGTTTCTGTCAGCTTAGTTAGAATGGCTCATGTGAGAAAACTGATCACTGGTACAAATGAGCCACTGAAAATCTTGGGACATATTTAATAGTTATGGAGAACCACTGTTAATATAACTGTTCTTGTTTTGAAGGCCCACATTACCTTTTCATTTCTTGTTGGTTTTTAAAAAGAAACAACGTGGACTAAGGTAGACAACCAAATGTTGTCTTTTGTTTTATGGGGGGGATCTTTTTCTGGCCTTAGCTTTGAACTTCCAGGAATATGAAGTTGTATTTATGGACAAAGTGAGTATAAAGCAAATGGCCCTCTTTCATATATGCTTCAAAGTTCTGTATTGTAAGTAATATTTAATATGTACCTTCTTGGTGGTAAACACTGTACAAAAACTTCCTAAGAAACAGTCCCTACTCGTCCAATAACACCAGGTTAAAAGGACGAGGGAAGAAACTGCTGTGAAGTGACCACTCTCTTCTTTCAGCTGACCTCTCTGCTTCGCTTCTGTTTGGTACAGGGAATCCTAACGTAGCTTGGAGTAGAAATCAAAGTGCATCAATGTGTCAGTATGTGTATGATAAATGCCATGTCTGCTTGCATTTGTACAATGCAATTTACATGTGCCTGTTGGGAAGCTGGTGTTAGTATAATATCAAAACTGCAAATAAGTATCAAAGTCAGGAAATCCCAAAGGGTAGGGTTTCTTCTTCATTCCTTCTTTTTTTACTGCACATCCAGAATCTTTTATAATATGCCACAGTTTTGAAAACCAAAAGAAAAGCAGTACAGTAGTGTTAAATTTAAACAAAGAAATAAGACTAGAAAATGTGATGTATATCGCACTGTTTCAATGTGAACATTGTGGCAGATATCTTAGCTTTTGGAATTTTTGAGATGCTAAGGGTAGACTTTATTTATTTATTTATTTAACTAATTAATTAATTATTTTAGCTAATTCTTCTATTTTAAATGTGAAAGAAAATGTTGAAAAATGGCTAATATAATACCTTAATGTATATCATGTTACCGACTTGCTTTCCGGGGGGAATGCTTGGGAGGCACCTCAGCAGTGCCAAACACCAAGAGAGCCACAGAGTAAACCCAGTTTGAAATGGGTCATCCTGAACTCAGAGGGATCATGTCTCCTTTTTTTGCAAGGAATCTGACTTTACTGAACTGGCACTCAGATGAGATCTTACTTGGAAAGGCATCCCCAAGAAATGATTTGTACATAGCATTAGGATAAAGGCTTTGGGTACATGCAAGTGCTGCAGTGCAAGAGAAAAAATCCTGATTTTCAGACCCACATTCTTGCAAGATCTTCTATTTTGGGGGGAGTATGCAGGATTACTGCTATGCCTAATGAAGTATGGGCATTACATTGTTGACAGTGGTATGTGGATGTTTAAAAAAAATCATATCTAAAAAGTTTGAGGGTAGGTTTAAGAAGTCTGTGTATATTTTCATAAAGCTAATGAATATAGGATTTATTTTCTTCAGATACAGGGTTTCATCATGTGCAAGGCTGAGTGCCTTTTCAGGAGCCAAAGGCACAGCTATTAAGCTCCTGGGCATTTGTCTTCTAATCCACATGAGAAGTGTGTATATATATGTATATATATATATATATATACACACACACATCTTTCTGTTATATATCCAATATGTTACGATAAATGTCTAATAGATGTGTTAATATTGATGCTCCTTATGAATGCTATTGAATTATGCAAGAGCATAATGTTTTAACTTGAAACTTAGGTGAAGGATACTTTTTCATATGTACTTGAAAAAATGCAGCTTAACCTTTTCAGCAAGTAGTGTTACCTTTTTGGAAGGTAGTAAGGTTTGTGTGTATTTGAAGACGGAAATTGGAACAGAATGAGGACTTCATTTCAGCTTTATTACTTCATTCACTGCTGGTGTTTTTGCAATATGTCACAAACTTTCAATATTTTCACAAATTATTCAACTTATTTACAGTAACAGTTCTGCCGATTTACATTCTTATAATACTGTGTTTGAACTTCCTGTGACTAGTGATGTTTGTAGGAGAGGCTGTGTATCAAAAGCTGTTTGTAGATTGTTTGCTGAAATTATCCCAGATGTATAGTGAGCACAAAAGCAAATCAACTGTAATGATCCTCTCTCATACAAGTTTGCTGAAATAAATTTCACCCTAAATATAAAGACAGATTTGCAAATATAAGTCTGCCTTGACATTTTCTTATAAGCACTTTTTCTTAAATATATTTTTTTGCAGTGGCTTTGCCTCCAGAAAAGACAGATGGAGTTTGCAGTGGAGATGAAAAGAAAGCAGAAAAAGAAAGTGACACACGCACAGGTTCCAAGAAGCAACTGAAATTTGAAGTAAGTCCTCTATATTTTAAAGTTTGACTGTACTGATGTAAATATGGTAGAAAAATAACCTGTGGACCAAATAGTGTCCTCTGATGCATGTATATAGCTCCCAACGATTGTAATGGGTACAGGACGAAGCAGAATTGACACAAGTCAGTGTCTTACTATTGGTGCTACTTGTGAGGTGATTAGTGAGATTTATTTCCAGGTTTGGAGAGGATCAAATTGTGATCATTCCTCTGTAGGATCTGAAATGTACAGCAAGAAGAGGCATTTGGTTTAACCCTTTATAATCCTTTCATGCCAGCTACCATGTTATCAAATATTTAACTTGACTTTCGTGTTCTATTGCCCTTGATTAAATCTGCCTAGTGTAAAAGATATTTGTGAACACTTCCTTAACTATTGGTCTTCTGTGCCTGGGCCTCCAAAGTGAAGTAACTCTGACCTGCTACATGGGAAATCCACCGGGTCACATGGCAGGAGGAGAAGGATCCTGGAGGGCAATGAGTCTGATGGTCTATTTCCTTGTAGACTTAAAACCAGCATAAAGCTGCCAGACATTGTGTGTAGTCGGCAGGGTTTGTTTATGTAGGGAGTGATTTGAAAAATATGAGTATTGAAACATGCTGTCATCCAGCTAGAGGGTTTCTGTCTTGGTGAGGAGGAAGATACTCTGGTACCGACAAGAAACAGCACAAATTTTCATCTCTCTGCACTCCAGCAGACGTGGCAAACTTCTACCTTTCAGTGCTGTCAGCCTGTCACAGTAATGAGCTTTGCTTCTTCAATTGTTATTTAAAAGACCATGCAGCCACCTTTCAATATGGCTCGAGTGTTCGTTTCCTTCTCTAGAGCAGATTTAGTAGTCTGGTATGATTTATTTTTTACTCTTTCAAGGCTGATTAGAAGGAGGTAGCTTTTCCATAGGCAGTTCAGGTGTTGCTAGGTGCTTGTGTGCCTTCTGGGAGGAAAAGACTTCTCCTGCCTGTTTTTTGGTTTTGTTTTTTTGGTTTTTGTTTGTTTTTTGTTTTTGTTTTTTTTTTTCCACAGAGATAACTCTTTTTCTAGGCACATTTTATATACTACCTTGAGTAGCAGATATTTGCAGACAGGAAAGGCATGATAAATTGCAATTAACAGTGCCTTGATATTTGAACAGCAGAGGACACCTGTCAACGTGGCTGGTGCCAGAGTAGCTGAAACTCCACCGTACTGACAAAGTCTGTGTTTGTTCCCAAGTAGTTCTTGGCATGCCATAAAGGTTAGCACTTGGTACTAGGCACCATGACTAATGCAGGGAAGGTTGCCATGGCTCTTAACTAAGCAGAGCACATCCTCACATAAAGATGTTATGTTAGGCAGTGTGGGACAGGGAAGTATTAATATGCGGCAAGAAACCAAGTATTGATATTTTTTCCCTTGTTCTACAAATGAAAGTTTTCCAGTTATGTAAGCTAGGAGCTAAGAGATTGGTAAATGTTTCAAAGGTATGAAAGAGTCAGAAACACAAGTGTTGAGACAAGAGGTCTAAATCTGAGGTGGTGTAATTTGGCTTTTAAAGGTGCCTGGGAATGTTTATGTAATATGAAACTGTGTTTCCACAGTAGAGTGTGGGGCACTTGGCAGCTTTCAGCCGGGCTTGTTACAACTGAGAGAAGACCGCCTTTGAACTCGGCAGGGGACAGGGGGTACCAGTAACTGCTGTAGGGAATTGGTTTCAAGTCAGAAGATCAACCAGGTATTTTGAGCTCTATCATGCTGAAGCTATTTGGAGCTGTTTATTTTACTTGCATACAGTGGCTTTCATTTTAATTGCACTGTAACTTTTCTGTTTTGCCTTGTTGTGGCTCTGGATAATTCTGATTGCACAGGTCTTGAGAGAAAGCAAGTGATTTGCACCCAGGTGACTGGAGTCAGTCAAAGTGCATCCTTTGTTCTTGACGGAAGTCTCGGTTTTGGTTTAGGGATTTTTTTCCCCTTTAACAAATTGATTTTTCAGGTTTTCCACAAATCACACTCTCACTAACAGAAGCACAGTTAAAATAAGGACCAGGCACTACTCCCAGGTTGTTCTTATCTGCCAGTTCCTAGGCAGGCTCCATTTCAGGAGCTTCAGTGGCATGAGGCTGTACTGCTCTAATTAACAACCTTTGGGTATCAAATATCTGTGTCAAGGACAGGCCTCACTGGTGGGGATTTGTGCCATATGTCCACCTTGTAGTAATGACTACTCCTGGCACTATGCTGTACTGCCTCATTCTGTGAGTCTATTTCTGTTATCTTTCTCTTCCTGAGTTAAGCAGAGTTTTCATTCTTGCTTTTTAGTGGGAAATCTTATTATAGTTCAAGAGCTTCAGGGAGTAGTTTTCTTGTACCTTTTTGTGTTTTCTACAATGAAGTAGAAAGCAACTTGCAGATTCCTCAAAGTCTAGCCCAAGGGGGCTAGGATTATCATGTGATTGTGATGAGAATTCTTCACTGTGGTGGACAGAGGCCTCCCCAGGACATATCCTCAAAGCTTCCTCCCATGAGGGAGGGAGGAAGGAAGAAAGCAAGCAGCCTCTTTCTACGGAGAGTCTCCTCTGCACACAGGCCTTTTGCTTTAGGTAATCAGCTGCTCTTTGCATGTTTCTTAGGAATTGCAATGTGATGTGTCTGTAGAGGAAGATAACAGGCAAGAATGGACCTTCACACTGTATGACTTTGATAACAACGGAAGAGTCACACGCGAGGTAAGCAAAGTACAGCTGCCCCTTTGTGTGCAGCGTTTGCTAACAAGAGAAGTGTTTTATAACAGGAACATTTTTTTCTTCTATGAAATAGAGGTGTCCTGCCAACTTAAACAGCAGTTTCCATGGACCCTTCCCTCCTAGAAACAATCCCACCAGTAGTTTACTGTTTTCCAATGTACTGTACCACTTCTTAAACTGGTTGTTGTTTAATATCTTGGATTAGACTTTAAGAAATAGTAAGGGCATTTGAAGAGGAAAAATATATGGAACGACTGAACACGTCAAAATAAACCCCTGCAAATGTATGTTGTTCTGGCTTCTATCCTGCTCTTCAGAGTTAAGCTAACCAAATAGCAGGGTTGCTTTCTGACATTCTTTCCAGTAGGACTAACTATACCGTTCTGTTGTTTTCATGAATATTAGGCTGATCTCTGCCTTCTGCCTCCAAGTATGAATAACATTGATGATACTTGCTGGAGGACCATAGTGAATGGCTGTCAAAACATACCCCCGTGTATTTTTTATTATCAAGAAGTCTTCAAGTCGTATTGCCTGTGCAAATAAGAAGCCAAATAAGAGGATGTATAGATTAGAATATAGTCCTTTTTTGGAACTATTTCTATCCAAATTGAATGATACTTTTTCTAGAAGAATGTCTTTTACTGAGATTTACTGCCATGTGCTGTCATTGAGTTTTTTTGTGAGGTGTTTACGGCCTCCCATGCCTTCAGATAATTGACATTTTTGGTCTCTCTTGGCTGTTATGCTGGTGTCTGTGAAAATTACTAAGAACTAATTGAAATTAATAGGGTAAATACTGAAAATGTAGTGGCCTTAGATGCCAAATGACAGCAGAAATTTTTCCTAGAAGACTGAAGCAAATCTCTTTAGACATTTATGAAAAATTGCCAAATGTGGTATTTGTTCAGGGATTTTAACATGTATGTGAACATCATTACTAGGCTTTTTTTATTGTCTCTACTCTGATAGTGCTTTGAATAGTCAAACGAAATCTGTGCAAGAGAATAAGCAGATGAAAAGTTACAGGCCAAGACCATAGTTTCAAATGGGAAGACGAGATACACAGAGAGAGGGCAAGGAGAAGCGGGGGTGGTGGTGGTGAGGAAATAGTATTGTGTTTGCTAATATATGGGGAACAGAGACCAGAAAAATTAAATAACTTGCCTGAAGTCTCACAAGAACCTAGTGGCAGATTGAACCCAGATCTTTCGAGACCCAGGGCTAAGTCTTCATTACAAGATTATCGTGACTGTCAAAGAATAGGGGAAAACCACACAAAACCCAAACCCACACATATGGGTGTCCTTTACATTGAGGCATAGAATTCCCATTAATGTCAGTGGGAGTTCCATGTGCCGAACATAATGAGAATATGCTTTTAAGTATGTATACAATAATTATTTGTGATTATGTGGTACACCAAAGAGCTTAATTTGATTGTACTTAGAGAATATGCTACAGCCAAATTCTACCTCTCCCTACTACAAGAGTAGACTGTAGTTTAACTGAAACCAAATCTGTGTAGGGATTGCAAATTATACTACTATGAGGTCTGGAGCTTGCTACGTTCAGGCTTGAAACTGTGCCAAAAAAAATTCTTTTAACCAAGGGACCAAATAAGTTGATAATTTTCAGCTCTTTACATGTGACCAAAGATAGAAACAAACAGTATGCACCACTGCAGAGTTTCCCAGTTATGTTACATACTACTTTTGCAAGCTGTTCCAGTGCCATTTGCGTAATCCATTTTGTTGGTTATCTTCTGTTGAATCCAGATGCAATTTAAGAGTTGTTTGTGCAAGAGTGACTAATGCTAGCAGGTCACAGATAATCTTGGCCTCAAAAGAGGAATGTCAGTCTCTTCATATGAGATAGGATTTCTTGTTCTACTAGCCCCTGAGACTGCCCTGTTGACTGGAAGTCAGCACAGTGGGCCTGATACTGTCGTTTGTTAAGCAGCTCTGCTCCTGATCCAGCAAGGGACTTAATGATGGATAACATTAAACATGTGAATAGTTTCAATTAAAATGAATGGGACACATGCTTTGAGTTAAAAGTATGTGAAGCACATTGCTGGATCAGGGACAGAATGGGCAGTCTGAGGAAGAAGGCTGATCTGTACCAGTGCCATTTAGTGAGCTGATGAAAATGCTTTCAGAACCAGTCAGCTTTTCTAAACAAAGGTCCAGTGTCCTGGTGAGAAAAGCTTAGTGTGGACCTTTTCTCCTTTGAAAATTTTACTTTAATATCTCCTGGATGTATAGCTGGGTTTAACAGAGTGATGAAATTTCTCTAAGTCAGATTTCTATCTGTAGACCTTGAGGTGCTTTACAAAAAGAAGTCAGCATTATCATTCTTGGTTTTTGTGTTGGAAAAGCGTGACACTGGAAGAGTGACTTGCCCACCCACATCCATTTCATTTGATTCAAAGTCATTGTGTTTAAAACATTGGACTTCATGTCCAGAGAGTTTCCAAAGGAATACATAGTGTTTAATAAAGTTTATAAGAGACATGTAGGTGGGGTGCAATTTTACAAGTGGACTAAATGTTTTTTTAATTAAAATGTTTGAAAATTGTAAATAAGATATGGATTTAGTTACTGGATAAATTTCCCTTGGGTTTTACACAATGGCAGATCACCGCAAGAGCATTCAAATTCCATCTTAGTGAAATTTCTTCTGGATCTTAACAGCATCTTCAGAATTTAATACTGCTTTGATTTCCTCCTAGAGTCTGTATGACTTATTCTGTAGTCCTTATAATTAGAAATTCAGATCTAGTTATGCTTCTTGAAGAGATACACCCATTATGAAAGCATAATTATTGGGATGGCAAATTATAAAATTAGCATTACTGTATATATTAAACTACTCCTTTTTCTGTCATACAAGATGACCATTTTTCAGTCCTTTTGGTGTAGTGGGAGATAACTTTTCTTGCTCTAATATGTATATTACAAAACTTGGCTAATAATGTTTCCCTTCATTCCAGAAGTCATAAGAGGACAATTCATTATGTACTGCAGGCCTTTTTAGAGCTTGACAGCTGCACTGTAATTATCTTCACACGGATATTTGTAATCAGACTTGAAACTTGGATAATTGAACTAATGTGTTTTGATCTATTAGGTTTTATATTGAGCTCTCTGAATGTAATTATACCTCATAAACACTAGCCTCCTTTTTTTCTTTTTGCAATCAGTTCTTTCTTGGAAAATTTAGTTTCTTTGGTGAGTGGCTGCACAGGAATAAGAACACAACAAAGTTACTTGTCAGGAATAAAAAAAGGAACTTATTCTAGAGTAGCTGTTTAGAAGATAGCAAGTGAAGCTCCTTTCAGGTTCCAGATAAGAATGATTCAAAAACGTATGTGATCAAACAAAGCTGATGTTGCAATAAAAACATCCTGCTGTATGTAAAAATCAGACTACAAACAAAGTACAAATGAGACATTTGTACTTTTCTGAGGGAAAGGTAATGAACTGATATTGATCTTTCTCTTCATGCCTTTTAAATGCTAAAATTGTTCTTTGTATCATACATTAAATACCCAATTTTTCCTCTTATGTTTTTTTTTTTTTCTTTCTCTTTTTAGTTATTTTTGTTCATATCTTCTGCAATGGGTGAAAAGGTTTGAGGTTAATTCTGCATTTAGAGCTCAACATCAAATCTCTGACTTGGGGAAAGATACTGGCTTTTTTGGAGCTACTGTTTATCAGCCTGAACCTTATCTTGAAATTTGCTGGTTTTCACTGTGTTTGTCAACATTGTATTAACTCATGATAGAGCAATGGAACCAATGGATAGAAGAGTAGTGCCTGTCTGTATCAGAGGGGCCATCATTTCAGCCATTAGATTCGGTGGATTTGTGTCAGAGAGAAATATTAAGAGAAAATAGAACTCTCTTTTTTGGTTTTGAGGAGAACCAAAGATATCTCTCCCAGACAAGTCACAAAGAATCAAACTGAATGTTTTCTTTCAGTGTTATAAAACTCACAGTGGGTTTTTTGAATTCCTTGGGTTTTAGTGGGGTTGTTTTGTGTTTTGTTTTGTTTATCTTGGGTTGGGGTTTTTTTTTTTTTTGGTTTTGTTTGGTGCAGATATCTCACTCTGTTAAATTAATTCTGCTGGAAAAGCCTCTTTGTTTCCTTTACAGAATCTCTAGTGTGATAATTAGTCCTATGATATTAAGCTACACTAATATGGGAAAAATAAGGTTGTCCCTCTACCACTAATGTTCCGTAGAAGCAAAAAATTAATTCCTGGAATTGGGACTTTCTCAGTCACATGCATTCTCTAAGGAATGAAGAATACTTCAATGTAATTTGCTCTTGCTCTTTTTGCAGATCCCTTAGTTTCTCTGAATGTTTTAAATTCCTGCTAATCTCCTACTAGAGATCTGTAAAGTATTCTGCAGACGCATGTGTGAGTGCACCATACATGTCTGGCCTTAACTGTTTGCTTTTTAATATTTCTGGTGCAAGTATTTCTGGCAATCTATTAAAGTTGCTCTATTTAATATGCTTTGCTGTATTAGCTGCTTGATAAAATAGGATGTGAAAAACATACAGATTAACACTGTTAAATCCTTCAGCCCTAGAAAAATCAACTGTAGTGTTCAATAAGCAAGATACAAATAAATCTGGGTATGGCATGTGCTGGCTGTTTGGATACTACCCAGCAAGCATTTGTTTTACTCTTTGAGGAAAAATATCACAGTTCCAGTTTTCTTACTCGAACAAACTAGTTATCCCAGCAGAAATTCTGCATGCTAGAAGCCCTTCAGAAGTTGGTTAGATTCATGCAGCCTACTTCCTCTCTAACTATTATCCATTTGCTATAACTGAGAGGAGATTTTTTTTATTTTTTTTTTAATTCTTATTTCTCTTTACTCATTTAATATACTAGTTTAAAAATCCATGATTATTTTTAACTAGAAATGGTTTAAAAGTACATTTCAGTAAAAAAAATGAGCAAATGATATTTTTAGAAAAATAGAAAACACTGAAAACTCTGTTCTTGTTTATTTTTCATGTAAAAAGGGAAGAAGTTTGAGAAATGGGGGATGAAACTTTTTTGTGTGGGAAGTGCCAAGCAGTCTTAAGCAAAGCAGTTGCAAATCATGTGACTAGTAAAAATCATAATCCATTGTGCAGAAAAGTTAGAATCTTTGGTAGGTGGTTTCTGAGACAAAGCTGGTTGGTGTAGCAGAAAAGAGAAAAATTTAATTAGCTTTTATTCTTGATCTTTGATGCTAAATTTCTTGAGGACAGTGAAATGCACAAGCTGGTATGTAGAAGTTAAAGCTGTCTCAATGGTTTTAGGCAGTTCTTTAAGGAATCTAAATACAGATAACATTCAGTGGGACAGCTTTCAAGGGAAACATACGTTGCCTCAGTTTTCTGCCAGGCTACTGGAAGATGAAAATTCTTTTGAGGGCAGATATAGACATAACTATAAAATCCAAATTTTGTTACATATATGTTATTTGCCCAGTACTACTAGTTTGACAAGAATCCATTATCATATTAACTGACAAAAAAGGACTGTGAGAAGGTAGTTTTAGTCACAGTTCAAAACTCATTGACAAGACAATTCCTACCAGATCAGTGCCTCAGGAATTTGTATGTTATAATTGTGAAGCAATAACTGGAAAGCAACAGGCGGTTCAAACTGCCTTGTAGCTGGTACCTACTTGTCCAAGACATTGCTAAATGAGCGAGTAGGGAATGACCCAAGCAGACGTTTGACCAAATCAAAACTGTCAGTTTGCTAAAATTCCCACCCCAAATTAGGACCACAAGTAAATGAATCTTATCACAAAAATGCTGTTGTTGTCAGTATTTAAAAGATCAGCATAAGCATTAAGTGGTTACTTCTGGATCTCCTTAGCCTCGATCTTGGTAAATATCCAGTCTGATGACCACGTTCATTCAATGCCAGAATGCAGAGCAGTTTGGATTGTCATGGAGGAAGCTGGGTATTAAACATGTAATGAAATGCAAAGACAGAAGAGTAGAAGATCATAAGGTGTCCTGATGCCTCTGTGCAGTGTCTTAAACTGCCTGGAGCCTGGACATTAGTTTGGGTTAGTTTGGGCCTGTTTGGATAAGAGATGTAAATCATCCTGATGTGGCATGTGTGTGCACATATTTCTGACTTGTCAAGTGTGTGTCACACAAATGCTGCATCTGGCCTTCCTTGACAGCATTTGGGAGTATTTTTTAAACTGCTGAGTCAAGTGGCTTGTTGAGAAAGACCCTCACAGAACACAAGGAGCTGATTTTATGCCAGTTAGCAAGTTAGACCTCATCACTGGAGAAAAATCATGTGAGAGGACAGTGGGAGTAAAGACTTTTTGTCTTTGCCTATTGAAGTTAAAATAGACTAGATGATCAGCTTGTACAAACATCTAGTGTGGCTGAAAAAAAGGAAGGAGGGCAGATTATTGTGAAGGAAAGAGTTGATAATAACATCTTGACAGTAGCCTTATGTGGAAAGGTGCTATGTTGGCTAACCAACAGTTGTTAAGGAATGTATGGGAAAGGCTCATTCACCAAAGTGCTGAGTGTATGAAGCCCTGCTGAGAATAAATATGGTGCTTAAGTATTCAGCTGAAGGGGAAGGTTTGGTTTATCAAGGTGTAGGTTTGTAGCACAATGTTCCTAGAACATAATTTATGGAGGGCATAGAAAACAACAGATATGTTTTGGTTGTCTTATGTTCTTCATTGGTTGGGTTTTCCTCACAGGTGAAATAAAATTCCAGCTCTTCAAGCTGGCTGTCAGATGCAGCTGTGACTATTTAGAGATCTGGCTAGATTTCAGATTAGGGTGGAAGTGTGAGAAGTGCTGAAGAGCTGTGAGTTGTCCACCAGATTGTCGCTGAGCAGGCATTCCCTCATTCAAGCTTTAGACAGTGGCTTTTATCAAGAGGATGGAAAGCAGCTACTGACACAGTAGTAACAGCCCATATAGAGAGACTCTTGTGGCACTGGTAGAAAAAATATGTCAATAGGGAAATAAAGAAGAGACTGCAAGTTCTGCTCTCTTTTTATGAATGTATTGTCTTGAATTCACATGTATGGAGAAATTCCACTGAGTGCAGAAAAGTTAGAGAAGGTACACATTAAGACAAAGTCTGGACCCTCTAGGATTTCATTATTCATTCTGCCTATTGGAAAAATCATCTGTCCTGGCCATAAGGTCAGTATATCCCTAAATTCTGTGTGAGTAGAAATTAGCATTTCTATGTCACCTTTAAAGCTGGTTAGATAATGAGGACTATGTGGTATATTGACTACTGAAGTGCTGGGACCCATTAGGGCATACTAAACTTGGAGCTGCCATTGTTATGGGCATGACCCCTGGGCAAAGGAAAAACTGTAGAGGTTTTGAATTTTTATAGACCTGGCTCTTAATTCTCAGAACCAGTTACACTCGACAAAAGATGATTTAGATATTTCCTTTGTGCTCGCAGGCATCTGCAAAGAGCTTAGGTACTGGGATAGATCAAGGAATAGGAAGACCAGCATGGAGAAATTCTCAGATATACATTGAATGGGATCTTTATAGCCTACAATGATCAGTATGCTTTGGCCTTAGATTGGTGCCCAAGATCATTTGTGTGAAATCTGTTTTGGAAAAGCAGTGAGCCAGGAGATGTCCTTTTCATCCTGGCACTTGTCCTGGTTTTGGCTAGGACAGAGTTAATTTTCTTCCTAGTAGCTGGTATAGTGTTGTATTTTGGATTTAGTATGAGAATAATGTTGATAACACACAGATGTTTTTAGTTGTTGCTAAGTAGTGTTTATACTAAGTCAAGGATTTTTCAGCTTCTCATGCCCTGCCAGTAAGAAGGCTGGAGGGGTGCAAGAAGTTGGGAGGGGACACAGCCAGTACAGCTGACCCAAACAGGCCAAATGAATATTCCATACCATATGACATCATGCCCAGTATATAAATAAACTGGGGGGGAGTTAGCTGGGAGGGGCAGATCGCTGCTTGGGAACTGGGTGAGCATCGGTCAGCGGGTGGTAAGCAATTGCATTGTGCACCACTTGTCTTTTTATGGGTTTTATTTCACTCTCTTTTCATTATTTTTCTTTTCATTATTATGATCATTACTATTATTTATTTATTTATTTTGGTTTCTATTATTAAACTGTTCTTACTCAACCCATAAGTTTTACTTGTTTTCAATTCTCTCCCCCATCCTCCCCATGAAGGAGGAGGAGGTGGAGGGAGGGAGTGAGCACGTGAGTGGGTGGCTGTGTGGCACTTAGCTGCTGGCTGGGGTTAAACCACGACAGCAATTTCAGGTAGTACCTTATTTGAGTCTAGCTGGATTAGATCAACCTGAGAGACCTTTCAGCTTCCCCAGCTGCTAAACAGTGTTTCTCCTGTTTGAAACAAATGCTTTATTAAAATTGGCTAATGTTCTTTCTGATACAGCCAGACATGTAAGCATTCGTTCACATCCAATTGCCTTCAAAGGGATGTGTGAAGAATGTTCTGTAATAGGCCTGACTGGAAAATCTCTGCTGTTCAAAAATGTAAGTTTAGAACTGGCTTGAATTTTGCAAAATAAGCTAGACCCCAAAACACTTATGGTGGAGTGACATTCAGACATCATTTATTTCCAAACCTGAGGTTTGCAGTTCTGCCACTTCTCTTACTGGTTTTCCTGTATATAATCAACTATCCCAAGAAAGAACCATAAGAAGTAGTAAGACTGTAATATCCAAGATTTACTTCAATTGCTGTATTTATTTTGATCATGTGAACTCAGTTTTTAGGGCAATATGAAAAGTCATCCATGGGTTCTGTTGAAATCAAAGAAAAAAAAAAAAAAGCAGAGCAGAATTTTGCCGATTCGCAGTTTGGGAAACCTGAATACCTTGTGCTGTTGTTATTGTTTTGATCTGGTTTTCCCCATTTAATAAATCTTATGCCATTTGATGAAGATTGCAGGGTTCTGTGCAAGTTCAGCTCTGTTAAATTCAGTGACTTTTGAGTCAGCATTTAATAGTCCCAATTCCAAAATAGTTCTAAGTATCAAAGCTGTAGGTTTCATACCATTTTCACAATAGTGTGTCTTCTTGTGTTTCAATCCAACTATAGGATATTACAAGCTTGCTTCATACCATCTATGAGGTAGTTGATGCATCAGTAAACCATTCTCCTAGTTCCAGCAAAACTCTGCGAGTGAAACTTACTGTGGCACCAGATGGCAGCCAGAAGAAAAAGAGTATCTTATTAAATCACACTGGTAAGGATGTGCAATCAGCAACTGGAAAAAATGTGAAAGCCTTCAAGAATCCCTTAAAAATCCATCTTCGTATTTTGTTAATGCAAATGAATATATACGTAAAAGCAAATAATTATGTGGGTATTTAAACCCCATAAATCTGCTTTATGATCTTGGTTGCAAAATTGCCTACCCTCCTTTCAGTGTCTCTTAAGCAAACTAGGGTTCCCTCTCCTGATTGATTGTTTCTTTTTGGAAGCAACAATAAATTATATGTTGCATAGTTGCTTGTGTGTACTGCAAGGCAGATTTAAGGCCTTTTCAACTTGTACCACTTTAATTCTGCCAATATTACAGCACTCGGTTTGTGTGGAAACAGGTGTAGTGGTATAAAATGTTTTTTACAAGTGCATAGCTATCACTGTTGCTGTATAAGAATAAACAATTAAACATAAATAACCTTTATGATTCTATGCATGAAAATTGAACATTTTTCTGTACAAGTAGAGTCTGCCATTATTAAATGTCTTATACTCTGATGGCTTATTCACCTTATGTTCACTCTAATAATAGTTGTATCAGCATAATTACTTCAGTAGGTAAAGTAGTACTAAATTAAAATAATAATTTAATTAATTTAATTCAATAATTTAATTAAAAATAATGTAAAAAGTATATAAAGCAATACGTGAGTAGAAAATGTGGGCACCTTATCCAAAAGGACAGCTTTGTTACCTCAGTTTTAGTGTATACGTCCATTCAGTCAAGTTCAGACATAAGCACGTTTGCACTTCTGGGGGGCTATGTGATGCATTAGTACAGCATCGAGCTCCAAACTACCAAGCCCTCCTGAGGGACAAGTGTATCAGTGTGAATGTTACTCCATTTAACCTGCCACATGGCTTGCAGCCTAACCCTGACTAATGTCCTGCAGTCAAGGTTACGTCTGCCTAGAATATGTCGACAAAAGCACTTCTGAGAAGGTTACACAAAATATGTTACATCTTGATCTACCGACAAGAAAAAATGCATTTGCAATGTAGCATGTTAGTTATGCTGATCAGCAAGGGTGGTAAGGTGAGAATAATGTACTTTCTTTTGACAGATTTGCAGAGTGCCAGGCATAGAGCTGAAAGCAAAGCTAATGAAGAAGTGCGAAGCTCTGAGAAGAAGCAGCGGGCTTCTCTCAGGTAAGGAGAAAGAACCCTGTCTCTTGACAGGCACTGAGTACCTCTGAGGAAACCTCAACCACTGATTTCTTCCTTTCTTGCTTCTTTTTTTTTTATAAATTATGTTAAAATAGAGTAATCGCAGGATTTTTCACTGTGTAACCATCAACAGATTCCATGGGTGGATACTTTGTATATTAAAACGAAACAAAACAAAAGCAAATCTGTAGCACCCATTCCTCAGATTTTCTTCTGTTGGCTCTTTGGAGGACATGCAGTGTCTATTTAGATGCTATCTGCAAATATTGTGCCTACTTGTGAAGTTTATAGCACAGCCTTTTGGCTAAAAGTGTCCTAAAATCTTTTTGTCTTCATAGAGGCCAGCTCCGGCCTTTCTCTGTCCTCCTTCCAGCCCATCTTTTTCACTGGTTAACTCAGTTAGCTCCAAGCTGTATTAAGTCAATCTTGTTTACCAGGTCATAATCATACCTGCTTCTCCTTACCACCTTTCCTCCTAAAGGAGGAGCTTTGAGCTGGCACTGGGTGTACGGTACCCAGCTGAAGGAGGAAAGAAGGGAGCTTGCAGCAGAGCAGCAGACAAACAACTTTACAGCAAGTGGTCTACATAGGCTACGTGCCGCAGAGTAAGCGACAAGCAAGAGCTTCCAGCATGCTGCCTGCTCCACGCTCTGCTCTGCTGAGGTGGTTCTGGCTTACAGCAGCTGTGGGGTGGCTCAACTCCACTTGCAAAGTGTGTTTGTACATTTGGTGGGAAAAGTCACTTCATCTCTTTCTTACCTCACAGCGACTTAGCAGAGTATCCATCTCTGCTGACTCCCACCTGACAGGGGCCATGCTTCCCCTCTGCCACATCAGCTTTAGGTCAACTTCTCCCTTCAAAAATTAGTTATTAGGTGGTAACCCATGTAGGAATTAGCCTGCTTGTTTAAAACCAGTATATTTAGTGTAATCTTGCAGGAAAATTGAGATTTCCCTCCCCCCCCCCCCCCCCCCCCCAATAAGTTTCAGAATACATTTCGCTACTTGAAAAAATACTGGTCTGTTGTCTTCCAGTGGAATCCAGCCTGTGTGACTCAGAGTGAATCCATTTCCAATAAAGCACAAGCCCATTGGTTTCTTCTATGAAGAGCTGCAGGTACACTTGCAGCCATTTGCAGATTAGATAAAAAAAAAAGTTTTTAGTTCTTCCCTAACAGAATGTACAATATTATTTTGGATGCCAGACCAGAACAGGCCTTTTTCCTCTGCAAATGTGTAATCATGTGTATCTGTCCTGTTATCATGAGCTCTACCTACATGATAGATATTGCCTGCACTGAACTTCGGAGTATGTGAGAATAATTTCCAAAGTATTTTTCAATTATTAAAATTTTTTTACAGCTAAAAAAAAATGTTAGTCTTCCAGTCACATGTAGGTGTGCTACTCCTTTTCTGAATTTGGTATTTTAATGGATAGAAAAACAAATCAAAAGCAGATAATTTTGATGCATTTTAATGTAGATCAGTTGCTCCAAACAAGTCATCTTGGTGTGTAGGTTTGATCTGTTCTCAGATTTTGTGTTTCATGCTAAGGCAGAGGCAAGCGTTTGCTGAAATGCTACAGTAATGACATTGAATCGTTAGTTGCATTTGTTTCTTCAGCTGCAAATTAAAAAAAAAAAAAATCCACTTTTGGCTTTCCTTGGATTTAGGGATATTTGTCCAAATACATAATAAATTTATCAGGAGAAAAGAGCATTCAGTCTTATTAAAAATGACAACAAAATAGTGCCTCCCTTTTTTGGAAAGGGGAAAAATGCTAGTGAGTTATCCCAGTACAGTCAAATTTCAGATTAAAAGAAGACTAAAATGACTTCTAATCTTCTGTTAGCAACTCTCTACAAAATCTTCTGTGATCTAAAGAACACTCTGTGGTTTTGCTTGTTGTCTTAGATGTGATGTTCAGATTCCCTCTGCCCATCCGCAAAGGTTTGCCCTATGTGAATTTAATGGACTGTGCTTGTTTGATTATCTATTGCAAAAATCTCCCTTCAGTTTGATGTCCCCCTCCCATACACCTTAAAGTCCTGGTTTTGCAAATGTAGTGATTTTATGAATAGCAGCCATTTCCATTTAAATCCACAGTCATAGAGGCATTAATTGTTGGGGTAGAATCTTGGCTCTGCTGCATTTGTCCTTACCCTTTTGTTTAGAGGCTTCCTAGACAGAACAAATCTGTATCATGAGCTGAGCAGATCAGCATCAGACAACTGTCAGCATCTGGCAGTTTTTATTATATCTCATTAAATGTGGACTGTTCACCTGTGTATGTTGCAGGGATATTTGTGCACTCTGGCCAAATTGCTAACCCTCAGGAAAGTTCCCTGAGGCTCATGTAGGCATCTCATGATATTAAGGCAGAGGCTTCCCCTTTGAAAGCAGAAATGAGGACTTCTGATAAGTGCACACATTTCACAAATTCAGTCACTTAGGAATTCTAGGCAAGATGTGATTAATATTCAAGATAAAATGGATAGAAATGTTTTTATCCTGAAGGTGAGAGATAGATGGGTTAGGTTTTTAATCTGCTGGAAGCTACAGGCAGAAGTTTTCACCTGTAGGGCTAATACAAGTATCAGGATCAAGTAGCTAGATTCATAGCTAGCTTGTCTGGCATGTGTGGTACAAAATGGATTGTGGAAGAGCACTGGCAGACAACTTTGTAGATTGGGTATCTTCATGCCATTCTAGTTTATGTTTTGTTTAGAGCAACAGGGAAAATGTGATGCATACCAGCTGCTAAAACATCTTCCTTTTACCCACAGATATACATTCTCACTCTCTCTTTCCCACTTAAGTGGTTTCTTCCTGACTGGGTTAAACTGTGTTATCAGTGACCATAGCTTGCAGGAAATGTCCTTGCATTTTTCTACCCTGTGCTTTATCACAGCTCTATTCCCCTTACCTACTCTATTGTTGTGTGCTTATTACCATTGGGATGACACTCCAACATGGGAATTTTAGAAGGGACTTTTATATGTCCCACAAATACTTAAGCAGATGCCTTTTTTTTATTAAAAGCCAAACTAAACCAAAAACCAGTAGCAACACTGTATATTTTTACACACTGTGCTTGATGCATGGTTGATGCATGCCTGTGTCTTCCCCTGTGTATGCAGGAGAGCATTGTGGGGCTGGATGCCACACACTTCAGTTCTCAGAAGTACTTGAAGATCTCTTTGACAGTCTAGCGCATCTCTCGTCAGTATATAATTGCTTCACTGTGTATATTTGCATGAATATTGTTGAATGTCATCTTGCATGTATGAAAGCTTTGAGAATGCAGGGCTGTGGCAGTACTGGCATAGTTTTTCATCACTGTCTTGATGAGAGATGGAATTTATTACAGGAACAAAAAACCAAGTTTCCTGTTAATGTAGTTTTCAACAGACAGTTCTATATACAGTGTTGCTTAGTTGTGTTGGATCAAACCCAGTGATGTTCTTTCTGGGTTAACTGTGCATTGTCTTCAGCACGTGTGCAAGTCCCAATGGTTTCCATAGGCAATTCATGCCTGGCAACTTCAGTTAGCCAGGTCCTAGCCCCAGAGATCTTTTATGTTGACCTGCTGAAGTGTAACAACCTGAAAAGGTGTGTCTGAGGCAGGAAAGGTACCTTGTTGGCTATGTATCCAAAAAAATAAAGACTATCTGGACATTCCCTCTTTTTTGACAGTACCCCATGTTACTTCTGGAGTTCAAAGCTGACACAGAGTCTTTAAAGCTTACCTGCTTTCCAGGCAGACTCTCCTCCATTTAGGAGACTCTACCTTTATCAAAGTAGAGCAAAAATGATCTTCCAGGTAGGTCAAGTCTTGCGACTTTTATCAAAGAAACTGTAGACCTGTGTCTGACGGAGACATGGGGGACTCAGTTCTGTAATGTCCCTGAACAGTACTACCCTAGACCAGGAAAGCAGTTTGTGCCAAAGCTCAGTGGAATCAGCAATCTCTGGAAACCTGGAAATGTGTTAATGGACTAAAGTGGACTACTGGGCACCACACAGTACAGAGCCCATGTTTAGCAACTGATGTAGGATACAAGGCCAAATTCTGGTCTTAGGCTGACATCAATGCAATCACACAGGGAAAGAGCAAAGCCTATCTTGTGTTCTTGGAGACTGAACTATCTGAATGACAGGCAGTGACTTACAAGTTTTCTGCTTATCCTGTTTATGATACTGAAAATATTGTTCATATCTGCAGACATCCATTTAAATTGCTGAATTAAATTGTTCGCATTATGGGCTACAATACTGTAAACCTCTTCCTGATTTTTTTCTGCCTCATGAATGAATGGTATTTCAGATATTTATTCTCAGGAAATAGTTCTGCTATAAATAAAATTGCAAAGCTGAGCAGGAAAAGGAGTCGAGATTCTGAAGCCAGCAACTGATCTGACCTTATTAAGTGTGTTTTGGAAAGCAGCGGTTTTCTCTGGGTGTCCTACCAACATCTTCTCTTCTCAGGCTCTCTCTAGTTACTACACCTGTGCTGTTGCCTGTCTTTCTGAAGCAGACACACATGAATGTTTATCTGACATGAGGCTTACCCCAGTGCTTCCTGACGCGGTGGGAACAGTCATGAATCAAACAGCAGGTTTTCTTTGGCATGTCCAAATTGGAGAATCAGTTGAATGGTTTGGCCCTAAGACAGAATGTAATAAACCCTAGGAGCATTTTTATTTGTTTTTGCATGTGTGATGCAATTTGAAAGCCTCCTTTGCTTTGCAACATCGGGGTTGATTTATATGAGGGGAAAGAACAGTCAGTTCAGGCCTATCGATTTAGCAAATCCGGTCATCCAGAATTTCAAGCATTTGTTGTTTCTTTGTGAGCAACTCCTGTCACTTCAAAGAGGCCATTAGTTGCTGGTTTGCAGATGGTGATAACAACTTTAAAGAAGCTCTGCTGAATTGTAATTTTGCTTCCTGCTGACAGATATCACCAGAGTGAGAACAATCCAGGGCAAAGTGGGTGCTATCGTCATTGTGTTGATGAGAACATTGAAAGGAGAAACCACTATTTGGATCTTGCAGGAATAGAAAACTACACATCTAAGTTTGGGCCAGGTAATTTATGTTGCAACCTTTTTGTCTTTTTCTTCAGTTGCATGTTCCACATCAGGGGAGGTGAATTGTGAACCTCTGTGATTTGTCTGTAGTGACTTACTGTAAGGAATAGGACTGTGTGAATACTGGAAGATAATTACTGGTGAAGGTGGTATCACAACAGAGTGGCTAATGTGCTGCAAGCCTGCTTTGAAGTACTTGTTTGTGTAGCTAAACTTGGAGGTGAGCCTAGGAAACAATCTTTACATCTAAATTATTAAGTTTAGTCTATGGGCGAGGCAAGGACTGATTTTTGGACGTTGGAGCTCGTTCCCAGGATGATACCAGTCTATATTTTATACTCACTACTGACACAAAAATAGGAGACTGTGGGTTCATACCTAGAATTTTGGCCTCTGTCCCCAGATCAAAGGGATTTGTGTTTCCTCCCTTTCCCTGTCCTCTGCCAAGATTTTACTATTCCACTCACAGTTATTTTGGTGACTTTCAGATAGATGATCACCAAGATAAAGTAATGTAAAGACTTTTATATAGACAGACAGACACAGACACACACACACACTCTCACTCTTATATAGATATGTTGGTATATTTGTAAGTGTATTATTTACTAGTCAGAATTATTAAATGTAATTAAACTAGACAGCTATAATTGCATTCACTTCCTTAAGAAAAATTCACTCTGCCGATAATGCTATCCCTGCCAACTGCATGCTAATAATTAAAACTTTGAAATACTAGATGACTAACTCAGCTTGTTATTTCCTAGGATCTCCTCCAGCAGCTCAAAAACATGATCCACCAAGCAGAGTTGTGAATCAGACTAGATCCCGTTCTCATGAACCTGAAACCTTCCATGCTCACCATAGGAAATCTCAAGTGGTGGATACAAGCCACATCAATCTGGCTGAAAGTTCCTATGCCAAGATTGCAGAAATCCAACAGAGGCTCCGGAACCAGGACTCAAACAAGCACTTTGTGAGGTCTCCCAAGGCCCAGGGCAAAAACGTTGCCCCTGTACATCCTGGAAGGGCAGTCAGAAATAAGCCTTTTCAAGGGGCGCCCATGCCGATGGCTTCCCCAAGTGCACGGGTGGGCCAGAATCTTCCTTACCTCCCCTTGCAATCTCAACAGGTTCACAAGAAGCATAAGCAGAGGGCAAAGGAGAGTCACCAAATGTGCAAATCCTTCCAGTCTCCAGGGACAGTTGTGGAAAAGGAACATGTGAGAGACCTGCCCACAGTCATTTTATATGAAGGCCAAGTTGGACAAATGATTCAAAGACATGAACACCACCACCACCATGAACACCACCACCACTACCATCACTTCTACCAGACATAGAAGAGATCCCACCAACATCCTCCAAGAATCATCCCATATGAAGGAAATGTGTTCTTGTGATACCAGAACTAAGGCATTACTATGATTAATATTATTGTTACTCCATTAATATTCAGCTAGCATATATTTTAGAAGTTATATGGAACTCTTGAAAGTTACCGTATTTATATGTTGTGGAACTGCATAGCTTACTTAAACACCTTGTGAATTTTATTTGTGTTTTAAAAGTGGCTTGTAAAACAGCAAACAGCCATAGCTTTCTGAGCTGTAATTTAATACAGGTCATCAGCGCACTTCTTTACAAGTACTACTTCCATTGTAGTGGGAAAGATACTTCAAACACTATTGCAGACATCTGGCTTACCACTCTGCTGTATGTCGGCTGATCGCACACAAGCCTTTTATCAGGGGAGCAATGTTCGAAGGGTTGGACTCCAGAGATACTCAGAATAATGGAAAATACAAACAGCTGCTACCTCTAGTATTATTCAGATTTTATTTTCTTTTTATTGATTGTAATGTGCTACAGGGGGGGGGATTTTAATATACTGCATTCATGTAGCCTGTTTGTGTTCACATCCTTTCAAATTATCGTAATAATTACAAGAAAATATTAGCTATACTTGTCAACAGAGCTACATTTGTACGACTTACTCTTTATTTTCCTGGAGATTCTTCACTGACACAAGTACAGTCTGTTATATACTGGGTAATATTTAAATATACTTCTTTTAGTTTTGTTTTTTCTCTTGCTTACTCTCCCTTCTGTTTGGGGTAACCATTTGAAAAGAGGAGGATGTGAAATGGGGTTTTCAAAAGCATTACTAGACTTTAGTGCTTGGGCCATAAGTATCATTCGTGGGGGTTTGAGAAGGAGAGGGGTTGTTTGGATTTTTTGTTTTGTTTAAATCCACAGTTCTTTGTTTTGAGAAAGAATTGAGGAAAATATACTTTCTCACTTTAAATGTTGGTAAATATATATAAAATATAAATATAAATATATATATATAAATATGCACATTCTCAGGTACATTTTGTTGTGTTTTAGAAATCTGTGGTTTGAATATTAACATTATAATTTTTTTTCCACAATGATGACTTGTTAGAAACATATGCCATGCCATTTTCTTAGATGCCTCCAATTTAAATTTCCCCAGCATCTACCAATTTGTGTTTCTCCCATGTTAGAGACAATTCAATGTGTAAAAAAATATATTTCACAATCATTCTGGCCTATTCTACTTTTTCTGTATCAAAGGGCTTCCATTCTATGAAGAAGAATGAGACCATACTCACAAGACCTTACTGACTGCTGAGAAAACTGAAGGTCAAAAGCAAATTGGAAAAGTGAAAAAAAGGGTCAGTACATTATAGTTTTACTTTCTGTGGGGCCCAGATTTATAATACATTCACTTGGGTTTTGTACAGATCACCATTTTGCAGGTAGGAAGTGACTGAAAAACACCAACGTTGCTTTTGGAACATTAGAGAACTTCTCACATGAACACATAATTGTTCTATAAACATATTTGCTTTTGGTTTTAATTATTTTAAATGTTGTGGTATTTTGTCTATAGTATATATTGTAAAATATAACTATCCCACATTGTTATAAGCCCTTTATGATTAGGGTACTTTTTTTCTGACTAGAGTTTTGATCAGTCCAAACTGGGGTATTACCTTACTGCTGACCAGTTCTAGAGGGAGTTGTCCTTTCTAAGAATGTGGAGGCATCAACTTTGAAAGAAAAGTGGAAAGCCTTGCCTTCTTGTGGAATTGGAATAAAATCACTGCTTCATGGTAATTAGGTCCATCTCTTGTCTTCCTGGAGCAGGTAGTTGTTTAGACCTTCTTAAAAAATCTGGTTTATTTTATTTTATTTTATTTTATTTTATTTTATTTTATTTTATTTTATTTTTAGCTGTCAACAGTGTGTTCTGTTAAATCTAACAAAATGTTTTAAAAATGTGTTTGATCTGTGTGACAACTATACTGTTCTGTTTATTTTTAAAATTCCTAAAGTCCAAAAAATATTTATATGCAGAATTTTCTGTATTGAAAATATGAAAAGGCCACAAATTTGGTTAGTTACCACTGAATTGTTCTAGTCTAAGCTTTTTTTGCTGCTTGTGTATCATTCTTTTTCAATGTATATATAATTATGGACTGCAAAAAAAAAAAAGGCATTTATATGTCTAGTAGAAGGAATAAGCTTATTTATATTATAGTGTGTTAACACAGTCTGATGTATTCAAGTGACTTATGTTATACCGCATGCAAACACACAAGTGTACATTCCGTCTAAGAAGGGATGCCATGCTATTTGTTTTGAATATGTAACTAAAGCTGTTCTCTTTTCAGTAGAGCATCTGCCAGAAAGACTGGGAGGTGGGAATTGTTTCTTAGTCAATTTTTTTAATGCTGATTTTTGCTGAAAACCAGAAAATGTTTTGGAAAACTAGAGTGCTTTCAGAACTGTGGGTTTTTCTAAGAAGGGCCAGCAAAGGGGCATAAATGCTCTTTCACCCAAAGATACTTTGCTGGAAAAGATAACAGCACCAAGAACAAAACCCCATCTGACTGAAAAGTGTGCAGTACCTGCTGTGCCAAGTCAACTCTGAAATGTAACACAACCGGCTGTTGGTTACAACCTTGTATTGATTTGCTTTGGTTTATTATATTTGGAGATTTGAAAGACAAATTCTACCTTGTGCAGATTCTGTGAAATGCAAATACATTTTAATAACGTGGCATCCCCATACTAAAACTTTACACCAGCCATGTATGAACCTACAGTATCTAAATACTGTGTTGCAGTTGTTACATGCATTAAGTGTGAATAACATGTAGCACAGTTTCTTTTCACAGAACCTTAAATTTCTGTATCTTTTAAAAATGTTTGCTTTTCAGTATTTTGTATAGTAAATATAGATGGTTTTGACTAAATACTTTATTTATTTAACAGCAAAAACTGTGCCAAGAGAACCCCCTGTTAATTAAAGTTTTACTAGTTCAGAAAGTATATTTCCTTCTTCTTGTGGATTTCAGGGGCTTATTGCAATTGCTGTCAGTGCTTGCAGATCCCACTGATGAAAGAGCTTGCATTAACATTTTTGGGAACGGGATCAGGCCATAAGGTATGGACTGGGTATGGCTTGATTTTATATTTAAACTATCAAGTTTCAAAGCTAAATTTCTTGTCCTCTACTGTTAGACCTGTGTTGAGTAACTGATTTTTCAGCTTCTTATTAATTCTGAAAACTTTTACATATATATATATATATGTGTGTGTGTGTGTGTATGTGTGTGTAATTTTAAGTTGCTCAAAACTGTGGCTGAATCAAAATTTAAAATAGATTTGTTTCTGGTTAAACAAAACATTTCATTTACAATAAAAAAAAAAATCGGTTGAGTATATTATTACTATTCAAAAATAAAATGGAGTGGCATGAAGTAATTTCAAATTAAAACTTCAGCCTTTTCATTTACTTTTTCTGTTTTTGCACAAAATAATTCAGCAAAACTAAGCCAATCCCAAAATTTGCACTATTTGCTGAAATAATTTCAACTGAAAAAATTTTGCTTGCCTCTACCAGCTGCAATTCTGGGGAAACCAGATTTTTTAAAAGGATTGCTAAGTTCTTCTCACAACTTCATGAGCACCTAATACAAAGTAAACTAAGCTAAAGATAGTGAAATAAAATCTCTGTCCCAGTGAAATCTCTGGCAAGACTGCCAGATTCCCGTTGGCTTGAGGGTGCCTATAATTTAATTCCAGGAATGTGGGTTTGAAGTCTACATAATGTGCAGACAGTGATTTCAGTATTTATTTTTTATGCATCTTACTGCTGATGGTTTTATAGTAGCTAATATTAAATGGAAGTTTACAGTAAGAGATCAAGGTGGTAAATTAATGAAGATTAGCAGCAAATACTGTGCTTTATACTCATGTCATTGGAGGACCTCAAGGCACTTCCAAATGTCTTTGAAACATCCACGTCATTTAGTCACTGTTAGAAATTAAGACCCAGTTCTGCCCTTGGATGATGAAGTACAGGTTCTCCTGGAGTGTTGGCATACCAGCACCTTAAGACCATACCAAATTAAAAAGCCACATATGTGACCTCTATAACTGCCTTCCCGTTCTAGTCATCATGAACACAGAACAGCAAAGTACAGCTGAAGTACCTTAAAGAAGTATGTGTGTGTATATAGATATATATGTGTGTGTGTGAGTGTGTCCTCTGGTAGAAGTTAGTGAATGGCACAAGATGGATTCTGACAGAGGTCATCTTTTATAAAGGGAGAAGTACTGTGTATGCTCAACAGTCTACAAGTTGCCACATAAATATACAGATATGATGAATGCTTATTCTTCTCCATATGTCATTGTGTACGTCAATTACTCAAAGACAGATTTCATCTGTATTCCAATTAACAGGAAAGTTGGGCCCCTTGGGGCCTAGATTAGACTTGAGAAAAATTCATCATGCTAGAAAATTTGCAAAAGCATTCACCATAATTTTTGCCTGGAGTACAAGCAAGAATGTTCATGTTTGGAAACATGTCAGCTAATCAAGTCTCACCTTTAATTACCTTGATGCAATTCAACAAGATCTGAAAATATGTTTTCAAACATGACTTATTCATGGTTTTGCTGGGAACCAAGTCATATTCAGCACCCTGCTAGTTGTCAGGCTTCTTTTTTTAAAATGTACCAAGCAGAAACATGTTTGAAAATCCATGAAATAAAAATTGAACTTAATGTGTTTTCTAAGTAGCTTCTGGAAGAAGATTTCTCTTATTTTCTAATGCACTTAGCAGCAGAACCAGCCTCTATTTATCACATGATAATTTATGTTCTTTGCATATTTGACAGATGTTTAGTTGATCTGACTTGGAAGGGGCTGTTTGGGGATTTTTTTGGTTTGTGTACATTTAAAATGAGCTCAAAATGAGCTAAAAGGAACAGAAGTAGAAAAGCAAATAACTTTATATTGAAATTATTCAGTAGACATTGAAATGCATCTTATTTGAAGTTTGGATTATAGTTATTAAATAATGAGGTCTTCAATGATGCTTTAATTTACTTTTATGTTTCTATATCATTCTAGATAATTCGACCCTACCGAGCTAAAATGATAGAAGTTATATGGATGAGTTCTTCTAATTTCTTCGTTTTAAAATAGCAAGACTTAAAGCCTATTCAGACAGATTACTGTGAGGGTTAGAGTGGTGAAGAAAGACTGGTGAGGGAAGGATGGAGAAATTTGAAAAGCGTAGGGATAGCACAGAACTGTCCAACAGAGGGGCAGGGGGAGACAGACAAGAGACAGGAAAATACTGTATGGAGAAGCTATATTCATATTACTTTTTTGTATCTTTTATGGTGCATTTAATGTTCATAAAACAGCAACAGTGGTTCATAGAATGCTTTTCACTGGGAAAGCTTGGAAGACTTTCTAGAAGAGGTCAATCTCCAGTGTGCAGTGGGAGGCGCAAGGGAGGAAAGCTGTAGATAATCACCACGAAGGCTGTGGCAGAATAAGAAATGATGCCCCAGTTTCCAGAATCCCTGTCCAAGTTGAGGGAAATTTTTTCAGAAGCGGAGGTGTTTCTATAGATGTTTTCAATGTTCTTTAATATCATTGGTTCTTTTCCTGTTTGATTACAAACACACATAAGTCGGTCAAATGTTGCCTGAAGCTTCAATGTCTGTCCTGATTTTTCTAAACGCTAAGCACTAACTATGCCTGTGAAATCTACTGACATGAAGTATAATCTTTATATCACAGAAATGGCAGACTGGACCTGTTGGCTGTCTCATCAGCCTAGTATTTCAGGGTCTGAGAGTAGGAAGTTCCAGAATTTTCATAAGAATGTTGAAGACATAATGTTAAGGGGCTTCATAAATTTGTCAATGGGCAAACATTAATAATGTCAGGCATACTGGTAATTATGCGCACTGTGCTTTTTGTTTTTTACGACGTGCCTATGAAGTGGGGTTTGTGTCTTCCTTTGAGTGCCTGGTCCATATAGACAAAGCAGCCTGTAATTGCTACCAGCTGAGAGATGTACTCTTTTGGTGAGCCTGTACTTTGTGGTTGAAGATATGGGGTTCAGATCCTTCTGGTGCTGAATACTTATTCTTGCACTTAATCCTTCCCATTTTGTTCTATTCACGAAGTATAGCACATTAAGGCTTTGTGAATTTTCTAATAAAACACCTAACAAACTGGGCCAAATTTGTCTTCATCTTCACAAATATAGAAGCCAGAAGAGCCCCATGCGTGTCTTTGAATTTGGACCTTCAAATGCAGTTTGCTATATGAGTCATCATTTTTTTCTTGTACTAATTTCAGATATTTGATAAGCTCTTTTTATGGTTTACAAGTTTAAAAAGACAAATAAAACTTTGTAGTTTAAAGCATTGGTTTGGAGGTTGTATTTTGTCTGTTCTCACTGAAGTTCTGTGAATGGTCTTTTTCTGTGGGCTTTAGCTTAAACCTACAAAGTGACTTTGGAGTGGGTGTTTATAGTTCTTCGCTTGCTTGTTCGCAGGATAAGACTGTTGATACATGAATAAAGTGCCACTTGAGGTTGTTAACAACCAGGACTGGTAACGCTAGTTCAACTAAGATAAACAGTAAAATGCTATGGCAATTAGCATTAAGGTCTCACTTGGGCAGTGTTGATTTTTAAAGTCGTAGATATGGTGCTTTATAGATACCCATGGCCATGGGGTCTGGAGCTATTTATTCCATCCTTGCTCTGAGTGCTGCATAGACTCCTGTGTGCTGTGTACCCAGGGCATCCTTGCATCCTCAGTCTGTCATTAGGAAGCAGGAGTTCGAAAATTGTAAGGTTTCAGTCCAAAGCAATTAACCCTCTCACCCTAGAAGGAGTGGAGGGGAGGAAAAGCTCAATTACAGAGACTCGAAATTTCCAGTAAGTGCAAAAGTATGAAGGGAAGCAAAAAGCAGCACTGTGGGCCTCACATTCTTCCTGTCTCTTTACAGCCTTCTCAGGGAATATTTTTTACTTTTGAAGTCTATAATCACAACTTCTTGTCTTTTGAGTATGCCATCTGTTAAGGCCATAGCCCTCAATGGCTCTGCACATGTGACTTCCATGGGTTTCAGTGGAAACTTTGTGCACTTTACTGAATTGGCAGATGTAAACAGAGGTACTGCAATTTACGCTCACTTGGAATCAGGTCTGTGATGGGGCATTCATAGCTTGCACTGATCAGGGACAGGTTTTTATAAGACTTTTCCTGGTCTAATAAATGGATGCTAAAATCAATTAATTTAAAGATTACAATCTTGACAGTTTAAGTATCTGAAATATAGAATCATTTTAGCTAGTGACTATGAATTAAAGGAGTAAGTCATAGTGTTTTCAGGAGCAGGGCAAAACTTTCATACCTTGCTCTGCTAAAAACATCACTGCAACCCTTTTCCTTATAACTGAGTCATAAATTTAGTATTCACAGGGTACTATGTGTCTGCTGATCTTTCTAACAACAGTTAATGAAGTTTATTTTACTTGGAGCCTTTGTTCATATAGATACTGCTTTTATTGCCAACAAATGTAAAGGAAATCCTCTGAACAGCAGACCTCACCATAAGCACCCTGCATGCTCTGTTACCCACCTCCCCAAGGATGTGCAGGGTGGAATCACTCCAAAGAAATGGTCTGAAATTTCATCTTCCAGGCACACAAAAGGTAGGTTCGCTATGTCTGTAACCCTGACAAAGAAAACTGAGGATCCAAAGTGATTCTGAGGCAAGCAACTGTTCCTTTTTCTCAAGAGGGTCATCAACTTCTTGTACTGCTTAATCCCTCCCCTTAACCGCAGTTTCTGCCGATGGTCTGGTACGTGAGACAAGCAGATGCTCATACTCAGAAAGGCCTTAGATTCCAAAATGGTCTTCCATCCCTTTAGTCAATGATAGGAAGCGTTTGGAAAGATGTCACTGTGAAAAGAACTTGAACGAGACAATTTTTTGATG